TCAACCAAATATAACTGCCCGTTAATTTTTAAGTAGGTTCACAGATACTGTTTATTGATTAATATTCAAAAGATGATATATAAATATTATTAATTTAATCATACATTGTTTCCTTTTATTCCTTAACATTTTGTAAAATTTAGAATTAGATGAAATACCGCTTTATTACCTCCCTTTTCACTAGACGCTATTTCGTACATCGAACGTTTGTCCGTTCGTTCGTCCGTTTATTCATTCGTTGGGTTGGTTGGTTATTGACTGACTGTCTGACTCATTCGTTCGTTCGTTCGTTCGTCCGTCCGTGCGAGCAAACATTTTGGGTTTAGGGGCTATATAACAGTAAAGAGAAAAAAAGAGAACAATAGGTTCATTCCGTGATCAAAGGGTTTATGTGCTAGTAGCCCTTAAGAAAACAAAGAAATTAACAAAGAAAATAGCCCCTAAACACAAAATGTTGGAACGTCCGTCCGTCCATTCATTCATTAATTCATTCATTCATTCATTCATTCATTCTATCGATATAATAATTATACGAACCGTTAAGATGTTTTCTGGCTATTCTTTCACACACGATTCGTCTTTTGGAATAAAAATTATTCACTTCTTCACAGTGTTTTATGTAACCATCGACTCCCCATTTTCTAAATAACTCCCTTACTAACATCTGAAAAAATATATCTTGTACATAATAATACATAAACAAAATAAGGTGTGTCAAATTCCTACTTAAAATTATTTAAAGCTCACTGCTGCCATCTATCTGGATAATCTTGAGACCTAGAGTTAGTCATTTTGTGAGTAGAAGTTGGAGATTTCTTATTTCATAGGAATCACCTGTGATGGTTTCAGCTGAAAGGCCCAACTGGACTATAAAAGCCAGCAGATGGCGCTAGGGCAGGTTTCTTATTAATTTTATGCATGCTTCACTTCAGGGACCCTTTTTCAAAGATTTAAGATTAATTACCAAATGCATTAAAACAACACTTGGCATGTTTGTAGGCATAGATATTTTTGATAAAGATTGACCAAAATTATTCAAAATATAACTTTGTTAAGTGTATTTCTGGAAAAAAAATACTGGCTGTCAAATTTGAAATTTGAATTTCCCTGGGAGGAGCCATGTGATCATTACAGGTCATGAACCTTCAATAGTTAACAGAAGCACGTGGCAGTGTTTATTTCAGGGAGAGAGATTTGTAGCAGACGATGTATATTTCAGGGAGGGAGATTTTCAGCAGACGACACATTGGAAAATATTTTAAATTCCTGACAAGAACATTTTTAGCAGGTTGTTCCTAAAAGAAATGCCCCATGTAAGGCACATCTTTTGGATTTTGATATAATTGTCTGACTTGATGAAGGACACATACAGCATTCCAGTGAAAAAAAAGAAGAAAAACAACTGACTTCAAAAATAATATCTGGACAAGATGACTTGATAATGTCTAATTAATCTTTGAGCTATATAAAACATCCATTAAACCTCTCCTGTGTAAAATCAGCTGTTTTTGTTTTCATTCTCTCTGCAGGTTAACACTACATGCTATTTATAGTTCAGGGTTTATAACAGACAGTTTTACATCACTGATTAGTAACACCCACAAATACTCAATGCCGCGGCAGCGAATGTTGCCCCTTGAAGGTGTAAAAGCGTAAAACCCGAGCACTGGACTTCCCTTGAAAGTTTCGTCTGCGACATCAAAGGCGGAAATACCGTCTCTGTTAGATATGTTTAACTTGTGTCAGAATGGTACCAAAGTAACGCAATAATTTAAATTAGCGTCGGTAAGCCAGTCTGTTATTACCACGAAACAAAATTTCAATGTAAAGTATGCAAAATGCTCACATACTGTACCGGGTTTTTTATGTGCGTATCCCCAATTTTTTATGGTCTTGGAAAGGTCTAAAACTTCTAAGTTTACAAAAATATTTGATCCAACATATTTCGTACATCATGGAATGTAACTAGTTTAAGATATTCATTCGTTTGTTTGTTAACGGACTATACTACATTCTTATTTCCAGTAATGGTAAGATGATGTTTTGCTTTTTTGTCAGTCCCCGTGAGGACGTTCATAAATTGCGCTCGCCGCCCATATTTCAGGGCGTCGGCGCGGGGTATTGGGTATAGTTTTCAACTAGCAATAACCACGCCTCGGATGAACCTCATTGGCTATGGTACCGCCACTGCGCAAAGCTACCAAAAGTAGTATGAAAATGGTTTATATATTCAATCAAAAATAATTGTCCGTTAAGTGTAAGTAAGTTCACAGATATACTTATATGATTTATATTTTAAATATAATGTATTGATATGATTATAAAATAATATTTCATTCATAAACATTCTCGAGCTTTTTGTAAAATTAAGAATTAGATAAAATATATTACCTCCCTTTTATATTTGACTATTTCGTACAACTGTCGTCGGTTTCACGTAATTTTATTTTAAATGCCTGAGTGATTTAATTGAAGTCATGATAGGACTCATTGTAATGAATTAATAATATAAGTTCATGAACTTTTGTGTCGAATTGCCGTCAATTTAAACTAGTTAAATACACAACAACATATATAATAGCAAATAAATTATGTATACATGTATATTGGTATTCTTAAGAGTACAGGCGCGGCTCAAGCAGGATTTCGACAAGGGGTATTACATTATGGATCTTGAAAACATTTTTTTATTGGTTTCCAGTAATTTCTGTGTGATTTTCACTTAAAAAAATAAGGTGATATCCAATTCTTATCAGGATTTCACATACATGTATATACTTAGCCTAGCCAACTCCCACTGAGGAAGGGATATCATGGCCCAACATCCCTTCCTTTCTGGCTCCACATTCACTCACTTAAAGTGACATTATGCTCGATTTTTCGCTGTGTCAAGTTGACTTGAATCAGTTATACTAGGATATTTTAAAGGAGTGGCTATTATAATGGTGACTTGATAATGAAAAATGTGTATGATACCATATAAAACTTAACTAAATTATTAAAAGACTACCCCACTCAATTAAGAATTTAGCGTTTACTGATCAATACATTTGAACCACAGTTAAAGAAATTTTCGCTGGCCTTTTGGCTTATTGATTATTTTTTCATAGTAAAATATTAAAACTGAACACAATTATTCAACATGTCAAGTTTCATATCCCTTTTTTTACTTGCTCACGAATTCACACTTCGGTTGGTATAATGTCACTTAAAATTATAGTCATAATACGTCATTTTGACGCTATATATAATTTTTCTTATCCATTATGTTTGACACACCGGTAAGTTATAACCCTGACCATCCTCCCCCTCACCACAAACAAACACAATTGGACTTTTCTTATGGGGGCAGCCGGCTGCTTACATCCCTGTATCCCAGCTTGATATACACGTCATATTGGCCTAAAATAAAATCACTGAACAGATCTGGCAATGAAGTGACATGCCGATTTATTTCTTACGCTATCCTATCCCACTGCTAATGAGGTGGGGTCGGTGTCACACATGGCTCACCAGCATAAAACAACCAATCAAATGCCCCATTTAAAAATAATCTCCAAAGCAAAGGCAAGATAATATACTTGATGAGATTCTTACCTGAGATACATTCGAACTGCCTTGAGTGGATGCCTGCGATACATATCTCAGTTGATTGAAAAATGGTTTGGGGGCGAGGGCAAAACCTAGCCGGAGACCAGGGGCGATAGTCTTGGAGAATGTTTCCAGACGGATTACTCTGCCATCAACGTCCATTGAAAGGAAACTTTCGTTAAATGGCTGAAATACAATTAGGAACATGTTAATAACAATATTCTTTTTCATTTTTTTATTTATAAACAAAAACTCATGGCCCTTAAGGACATAAGAGTGAACAATCAAGCAATAAAAAAAATAACAATACAAACATGGCATAGAAGTAAATAAGTAAATAAGGAAGATGACTTAGTGAAATTTCAGCATTATAGCTTTAACAAAAATGATTAGATTAAATAAAGTATTTCTGTTCAAAATAATTTAGTTTTCATGACGTTATACAAGTAATACGTCACGCAATTTACTCGGATTATTATAGTGAAATAAATGTATATCTGTACACTAATACATTTAGAGAACTTCATTTATACATTGTACATGTACTACGTATTTTGGGACTTTTTTACCTTTCTTTTCTTACTGATACAGATTAGATGAATGATATTCCTTAACAGAATAAAGTATAAAATTATGCAAAAATGACGACTGTCACCAGATTGTCAATATTTGTGGTCATTATTATTATTATGATGATGATGATGATGATGATAATGATGATGATGATGATGACGATAATGACAATGATGATGATGATGATAATGATGATGATGATAATGATGCTGATGATAATGATGATGATAATGATGATGATGATGATGATGGTGATGTGTTTAATAGTTATTTTTCAAGATAATGTTTTATATTAGTTAACAAACTCACTTTTTCTTCCAAATAAAAGTATGCATCGTCCTCTATAATAATGAAATTATATTCTTGTGCCAGCCTGTATATTTCCCGTTTCCGTTCGTTCGTGTACCGTACACCGGTTGGGTTATCTCCGTTAGGAACACAGTATAACGCCTGTAAATGTATAAATCATACAATAATATTAATTTTACTAACACATATAAAAAAGCAGTTGTGCATTAAATCAACAGTCGACCCTTTGTGGCGGAGGGGTTGCCTTTATGGGTTGAGATATCAGAATTGCAGTCACCATTTAACGTAAAAGGCGACTAAATGGGTTTGAATTACTGGCTCCATCAGGTGAAGTGGTTTTCGCCCCTTGCGTTGTTTTAACGCAACACCCGAGGTTGGCTCTTGTGGCGGTGCCTTATGACATAAACTGTGATAGTGCGCCATAAAACCAAACAAAAATAAATAAATAAACATCTCTAGATAATAACGTTACTAACGCTTTCCACATATTTATTTCTCACCTTTTTCTTAACTTCTTACCCGACGTGACACTGGAAGATGTCAGGTTCGAATCTGAACGTTTTTTGTCATGCGGGATCCTTGACAGAACCACACCAATTTATTTTACATATTATGTTATGTTTTTGTTGTTGCTGTATTCTTAGTCATACCAAAATTATTAAAGACATATGTCAACATTCAAATATTAACAGATGGTGGAAAAGAACAGGTCCCCTAATGAAGACGCCACCTTTCTAGACTCTTTTCTGGCATGATGGAGGAACTTATTTTTCCTGCCGAATTCAAGCTTGCAGCCCTAACTTTCATAATTATTTCTACAAACCTTTCTCTTTTTTTTTAGTGTTTTTTTTTTTTTTTTTTGGGGGGGGGGGGGGGGATACGTCACATCGACACAGTTTAGGTCATATCAAAACGTTCCAGCTCTTTACTGGTGGAGGAAGACCTCAGGTGCTCTTCCTTGCATTATTTCAGGCACGAACGGGCACCTTCAAGTAGAACCACCGACGTTCCGTAAGCTAGCTGGATAGCTTCCTCACATGAAAGAATCCAAAGTCCCTGTCAGGATTCGAGCCCACAGCGGTGAGGGGCAAGCGGTTTGAGGTTTTAAACTATTATAAGACACATCTTTACACAGTCTAACATATTACCGGATATATAAGTTTAAACATTATTTATATAAGCTCGATTGTATATAAAGCTTGCAGCTAACTTGAACCACTTCCAAGAAGTAACCAGTACTGTTGTCATATGAGGACGTAGCAAAGACCGAAAAGGCTTTGTTCCCGTAAAAGCTTATCATTGTTACTGTTGGAAGAACATACAAGTGCGCCTTCACAAATAAAGTTCTTTTCATATATCATGTAAGGGCGGGCTGCTAAAAAACTATGACGTTCCGTTTTTAAAGGTATCAAGTTGGCTTTCAAAATTTACAGACGTAAATTTGATATTATTTGTACAAATTCATTAAGTTTAGTTCACTTGACAATACGAATGCACCGATTTACAAAGGAAAACAAAAGAGGTAGGGTTACCTTTAGTCTCCCTAATGAAGGTTTTCCGTCTACCGGCTTCGGCCATTTAGACAGTTCAGCAGCAAGACATTCCGGTATAATACCGTCTTTATCCATTCGAATGGCTTTGACGTCACAACCTATCGGCTGCGTCTGAAACATGACATGTATTTTTTATGATTGCCGGAAAAGAATCCGTAAATGGGACGATATTTTTAACATCGTGTCATTGCATTTGAGCACGTGGCGTCGATGGCAAGCATTTATAACCTGTATAGAATGGGGTCAGCTTACCAATTCAGCAATTTGATTGACTACTTGCCAGGAATAAAGAACTCAACTCTAATTCACGCAAACCTAAGCCTGTGTGACCCGTTGACTGAATCTACCCATGTGACCAGTGCCGACCAAGAACAGCCGGCACATTCTTGCTGTTTGATCATGGTCTGCACTGTTCGTTATTAAGTATGTACATTTTTGTAGTTATTTTTGGAAATATTTAATAAGGTTTTGTTCAGATTGAAAGATGGGCAAGTCCATTTGTGTGATATTAAGCTTTGCAAGGGTTAGCTTAAGGTCTTCAGCGTACCCGTTTATATACTATGACGTGACGTGAACGCTGAAGATAACCCCGTAGGGAAAGTCCACCAATAATCGTGCCAGGAATCTGACACGCTCGTATTTATTCATCGAACATGCCATGAAGTAAAGTGAAGCATACCTTGATAAAACTATATATAATCTGTTGATAAGCCAAGGATGGACAAATAAAAATCTTATTACGAACATAAACTACCTAATAGTTTCCGACAGGTAAAAATTTCGGAACTTGGCCGCCATATTGCCAAAATGTTTGACCACGTGATTACGAGATTGACCTTTATGAACCCATGTGCCTCCAATATTTTTATAAATTACTTTTTTTTAAGATATTGAAAAGCGTGATTTACTGACTTTTATCTTCAATAAAATCATATTTAAGTACTAAAAAATTAATGAAATAAATAAAACATTATCTTGAATAAAAATATCGAAATCATGTCAACAAAATGTTCTAAATATAGTACACGACTCTATTCAAATCTGTTCCTGCCAATGACGTCATACGAGATCTCGCGTGGCACCTGAATGTCATGGCCGACTGTAGTCGGCGTAAATTGATGTTTTACAGTTTAATAGGCAATTTTAATGTCAGTATTAATATTTTGATACTTTGATTGGTATAAAACGATATTAAAATAATTGTTTTATCGTAAAATGCAAACGAATTGATTGGGTCAAGTGTATCTGCATGTGAAAAACAAGAATAAATCAACTTATGTTATTCTGGTTAGGTTTCGTAACGGGTCTAATCCAAAACTTAAATGCCGCATCAGATGAAAAACAAAAATGTTAAATAGCGGCTTATAAAGTTTTGGAAGCCAGAACTATGCAAGGGTATAAAAGAAAAGGGTAAAAGTGAGAAGATGTGTGCTATATATTGTCAAACTTACAACAGCCACAAGATTTGGATAAACGTACTCCTCTGTTAACACTACATCCCCTTCGCCCAACAGAATTTCCACAGACTGAAGAAGAGAAAAAAAAGGAATGTTTTCTTTCGAAAAGAAAACAATAACAATAAGTCCATTTTGAACAGGATGGCAATTTAAACACGTATTTATAAATGGACATTCAGATTAAATGAAATGTATAAGTTCGGTCAATGATGAAGGCATAGTTTAATTGTATAATTAGCCCAATAAGCAAATAAAATGATTTTTTTCTGAAAACATTACATTTGTTGTGTATGTTACATTGTCTTAATCGTTACTTATTTGCCATATAGTTGATTAATATATAAGTTGCTTCTATTTAATAAAGATATTGTGACGTAATATTTTGTATGGAGTCAATGCACTCCATTGTTTACACTTTGCTACTTTAATGACTACTTAATTCACATATTGTGCTACTTTTTCCCCACGATAAGCATCTAACAACATCTAAATCTATATCAAAACACGTGTCCCTATTTCTAAAGAAAACAAAATGTATTAATTCCTCAGGCATGTGACGCGCCTTTGTGTTTTGACTACGTTTGCCACTAGGTGTAGAAGTTGTCCACAGAAATGATTTCTTTGGAATATAGAAACGAATGAGAGTGCCAGTGTAGTATTTTATTTCAAAGCATTGAAACACTGGTTGTTTGCAAGTTTATTACATGTGCAAATGAGAAGTAATGCATACGTGCTAGTAAAATACCTAGTGAAAATATCCGCCTTGCAGAGGGAATCGTTAGATGGTAATTTTATTGGCAATGCAAGTTAGGGTTAATTCTTGGCTATAATTTGGTGCGAAAAAGAAAACCCATTGCACTGAATTAGCAATATGAGGACAATACCGGTGCTATATGAAGAAACATGGTTGTGTTTTTAAAAGGCTCGAACCTACTACTCTGGACTTTAGGGGCCTACACCTTAGCAACGAGGCAGCCACTTTCCATGGCGTGTCCTATTACTAACGACGTAACAAATTATTATTTTTCAATGACTACATGATAAAATGAAAATAATTATAATACTCTTCTTATAATAATATTCTATTTAGAAACAGAAATAGACAAACTTTATAAATTCCGTCATTGGAACCAGATGTTAACAAAACTTCTGTAGCGCCTGGATGACTTGGATCACCCATGCGCGGTGGATCATGTAGACGCTTTGTTATATCTTTAATGAACTGCAGGATTTCCGGATGCCTATAAATAGACAAATATGGCTGAATATTACATTGCATATAACTTGATGAATATATGTTATCTGCTATTAAAAATGACATAAAAAGCAAATGATCTAAACAAGATTATTTCCTAAATTTGTTTCAATTGTAATTTTCTTTAACTGTAATGGCCTATAATGAAAGAACTGTAAATAAATGATCATGTTGGTGTTATTAATAATTTGGCACCATGCACGAAAGAAATATACATGGGTGTTGTTAGTAAGCGTTAGATACATGATCCGATATTACGTATATATATAAAGCAGATAATGAAGTGTTCTAGAACAAAATATTATTATTCATCATAGTCATGTTCATACTAAATCAATTTAGAACTATATCGACATTTTGTTTTTCGGAAAAAATTCATAAGAATATCTGAAAGATACATTTCTATTATCTTTTATCAATATATGAAATACTTCTGGAAAATGGGCCCATTGTAGACCAATCAACGCAAAGTTTGTTAAAATTCTGTCCACAAGTTTTCCTTCTTTGCCTTTGTAAAAAATGGAACAATTAAGTTAATGTCTTGAATGGAAACCTTGGTCGCTCGGTAAAGGTTGGATAAAAAAGGAGTGATTGAGACAAGCTCGATTAGCAAAGCTTAAATGGGAACATCGTCCGCCCACATCACTGCACTGACCTACGTTTTGTTTATGTAACTGCCAAACAATATCATATGTATAGAGGTTCTCACACATTTTTCTCATGAAATATGTCCGTGCATTTATAAGTGTATGATCTAGAACAATTTTAGCTTACTGCTGGTGAATTAATATACATTTAGTACTTAAAGTTTGAACGACTTTGAATAATAATGAGAGTATTACTTTCAATCGGAATATTCTCGGCTATTATCAATTATAACTTATCCGAAGACTGACGGAAAAGGCCGAAAAGTTGCGATTGTATTAATTTTACCCGAAGTGGGGTTTCTACGGTTGGTTTAAGTAACACCTTGTTAATAAAATTTTAGCACATAGCATATTCTATGACCTTTTTTCTTGGGTCATTTTTTTACAATTTGAATAATTATTCTGGAAACGAAGTGCGCGAATGATCTTAAATTTTGCACAAAGATTAGTGGCAAATGGTACAATTATCTGGAAAAAAATATTTTCAGTCCCATCATGTCAAAAAAAAAACTTCAGTGGAGCTACAGTCTCACTTACATCCCGGCAGAGCCCCGGTAGACGTCCGGGGTGATCAGGGAACGATCGGGGTACGACCGGGAACAACCGGGGTACATCCGTAACTCTGCCGGCAACGTCCTGGATGATCCGGGATGATCCGGGAACATCCGGCATTCGACCTCGGATGGAATAAAATATTTAATATCACCGGGGTGGTCCGGGATGATCCGGGAAGGTATAGCTTTGCCGGCTTCATCCTTAGCTCTGCCGTGAATGACCGGGGCCGGCACAAACCGGGGATGATCCGGGGTATGATATAGCCGGTAAAGCTACGGTAGAGCCCCGGTATATGCCGGCAGAGCCCCGGTGACTACAGGCAGAGTCCCGGAGGATAAAGGTAGAGCTACGGTTGATTCCGGTAGAGCCCTGGCAAAGCCCCGGTTCATTTAAAAAAATAACGACAATTTGCGATGATTGAACTTGTTTGTATTAAAAGCCTTCCCTTTTCCCTTCTTTCCAGTATGGCATAAGGATTTTTCAGAAAATCATCATAAATTACTACTCTGGAACAATAGATATTATATGAAATAAAAATTATGTATCAATGTTACCATTTTCATGCGTTTTCAATCCATAAGGGTTCTACCGGGGCTCTGCCTGGATCGTCCTGGGCTCTGCCGGGGCTCTGTCTGGGTCAACCGGGACTCTTCCGGCGTCATCCGGGAACGACCGGGGAAGCACCGGCATGATCCGTAGCTTCACCTGGGCTCTGCCTGGATGATCCGGAGCGCATCCTGGGTGGTTAGTAGGGAACTACCGTAGTGCTGCCGGGGTAAGTGTGACTGCAACAATATTTTCATCCCGGATCATCCCGGTAACTGACCGGGATGGTCCTGGGCTCTGCCAGGAGTAAGTGAGACCGAGGCTTTTAAAGTCCCTTTAAGTAAAGAAATTGGATATTGTGACGAAAACCTTTTAACTGACCGAAATGAATCTAATAAAAAGAAAGGATATGTAGGTTGATTAACGCCATGTCGTAGTTTTGCCTTTTCATTACAAAAACCCAAATTACGGCAAATAATTAGCGCGACAAGTTAATAAAATATACATATAAAAAGACTCGTCCAATAACGGACAATACCGATTTCATACGTACCCAGTCGTTATACCATACTGTAGTCCTTCCATTAAGTCATTTTGGCTGATTTTTGAAACTGTCCCGTCACTGCAAAAAAAGTGTGTTGGCGTCAATCAAATACTGATAAAACGCCAAAAGTAAAAAGTGTCTTTGAGTCATTACTTATTAAAGAATGAGCAAACGTGTGTTTGATATATTGCTTGTAATTGAAGAATAGCGAAAAATGCGATTTTTTTTGTCATTACTGAATTGTGGCGTACGCTTAACAAATATCTTAAATATCTTATGTTTTTTTATGGCGTCGATTCTTTTAAAGATTATAAAACATAAATTCATGTGATTAACGTGCGTTTTGTATTAAGAGAATTCATACCCGAATGTAATCGACATGTCCGTAATAGGGAAGACTTTTGGGTTAGGAAGACCACCAGCCATTAAAACATACGTCTCGTCTATACCGATTCCATCAACTATAACGAAATACACTCATGTTATGTGTCTTATCTAATAATAATAAGAACAAGAATAAGAAGAAGTAGAAGAAGAAGAAGAAGATATGGTGACTGTGATTATGATAAAGAAGACAGCCAACCAACCATTAAAACATACGTTTCGTCTATACCGACTCCATCAACTAAAACAAAATTTCACACATGTTATATGTCTTTTTTAATAATAATAATAATAATAATAATAATAATAATAATAATAATATGAAGAAGAAGAAGAAGAATATGGTGAAGGTGATGATAATGAAAAAGAAGACTGCCAACCATTAAACCATAAGGATTGTCTATAACGACTTATTAACTACTAGTATTGCAAAACATCACACATATCTTATTAAAGGAGATTAATATAATGCTAAAGAAGAAGAAGAAGATGATGATGAAGAAAATGATTGAGAAGGGAAAGAAGAAGAAGGCAGTTAACCATTAAAACATACGTCTTGTCTATACCGATTCCACCAACTATAACGAAATATCACACATGTTATGTTTCTTATTAAAGAAGAAGAAGAAGAAGATGATGATGAAGAAGAAGTAGAAGAAACAGACCACCAACTATTAAAACAAACGTCTTGTCTATACCGATTCCATCAACTATAACGAAATATCACACATGTTATGTTTCTTATTAAAGAAGAAGAAGAAGATAAGGATGATGACGATGATGATGATGATGAAGAAGAAGAAGAAGAAGAAGATGATGATGATGATGATGAAGAAGAAGAAGAAGAAGAAGAAGAAGAAGTAGAAGAAAATACCACCAACTATTAAAACATACGTCTTGTCTATAACGATTCCATCAACTATGACGAAATATCACACATGTTATGTTTTTAAAGAAGAAGAAGAACAAGAAGTTGATGATGATGAATATTAACCAGAAGACCGTCAAGCTATCGTCTGTATCGATTGGTCGTGTGCCTTATCAAAGATGACAATGGCAAAGAAAAAGAAGAAAAGGAAGGAAAAGAAAAGAAGTAGAAAGAGAAGAAACCACGCACAAACCAGAAAACCAATTTAATTGTATATATATTAGTCAAGTCAATTTCATGATTTCCTGCCATCATTTAATACTGCATTTTTAGTAACTTTGTAGTTCTTCTTTTGGCAATAAAAATGAATAAGTTTGCCAAACTGCGTTAAATTGAGGCGCGCATGGGTTTAAACTGTTGTTCTGGGAGACATGTGAGATAAAATGGCGACATAATAAATTTTTTTATATATAAGTTGTGATTTAAAACAGATGAGATAAAACAACAACATTTATCACAATTCGGAAACAACATCAAAATCAGTCTCAATATCATTGAGTCTTTTAATAATTTAGGAGGATAATGTTTCAGATTCATGTTCAGGATACAAAATAGCTTTTCGGCGCATGTGCAAAATATGACTTCCGTTACTAGGGATTTTTTTCTGAACCTTAACATCTATATAGAACATTTAAAATTAGACTAGTGAGAAACTTCTGTTTGAAAAAAAAACCCTACCCCTTTTTGGTGAAATCTAAAATAAACATTAAAATGTACCGCAGCAAACTGCGGCACTAACACTTCAAACTTAAACCATTACATGTTAAGCGTTTGACTGCCTGAATTTCTTTGTATTAAAATGTTTTTGTTTTTCTTATTAATACAAAAATAATTGTAACAAAAGTTTTAATAATTGAGAAAATGGCCTTTAAACAGGAAAATATTAACAAATGAAAATACATTTTATTAAATATGAAATTGTAGATTTGACCAATAAAAATGGTTCGATTAAGACTGATTAACACGCCAGATGTTAAAAGTTAGCGGCCTGTTAATTTTTTTTAAGTTAAACAGATGATAAGATAAGAAAACTTTGAATACATGTCGTAGATAAAATTAATGATAATAATCATGTTGTCATACATGTGACGTAAATAAATATAAATGTGTCAGACACGTAAATTGCCATAAACATGTTAGGGGTTTGGCTAATTGATAACTTACATATTTTTGAATTTTAATAATTTAAAACCTTTTTATAACATAAACAAGAAAATATAATAATTTTACGAAAAGTATTTTGAAAGAATTAAATGAAAAAAAATATAGCGTAACAGGTGCCTAGCGATCTTAACCATACAAATTTATAGCCTGATGGATAGCTTTTTATTAGACTTTAAGGGATTTTGAGCCTGGTCTGCTCGGCTAAAGGCAAATCAGCAGCAAGTTATGGGGTTACAAGAACAGTAGATTTGAAATAATTTTAGCGTGTCAAAAACCTTCACATGCATACATTGCACACTGCTTATTTTTATAAAGAAAAAAAAAAGAGTTTAAAAACTTACATAGTTCTCTCAGAGCAGAGGGTTTCCTTGCTCTGGCTGTTTTGCTAAGGAACGCTGTGTAATCCATTGCTACTCTTGACATTGTTCTTAGCATCTAAACTAACTGATCTTATGGCTGGCTTAAACACCTGCATGTAGAGTTCTAGTTTCACTGTATATGATAGCTCTATCTATGGAACGCCATTGACACAACTTTAATTTATGACATTATCATTCGTTTTGTTACTATAATCAGTATGGGTGATCACGTGATATATTCCTACGGTAACAATGTCTCATCACATGTAAGAAGTGCCCATGACTTAAAATCTTTCTGCTAATTTTCAGTATATAAATATATTTATAGGCAATTAATTGCTGATTCCAACAGTAGATAGCTGTTCTATGTGAGTTTTGTTTTTTCATTGCAAAATATATTTTGTGACCTTATGCTCAAGCACATTTTTAAGAAGCATTGTGTTTAAGCATAACTTGAAAGCTAAAAGAGCAACATTCGAAAGTTATGTATCAATGATCTATATAAATAGATTTAGCAAATATCTTTTAATCATGGGCCACTAACAGTGATACAATGTTACAGTAAAACAAAAGTCACGTGATTACCAAACCTTAATAACTAACTGTATGATGCTCATTTCTGAAGGTCTATGAACAGAAATTTGTCATTATTCTTTTGCGTTAAAAATGTTGAATATCCGATCAAATATTAATCGCCCAATCAATACTTTCGGACATCAAACAGGATTTCTGTATTATCGTTTTGATATCTGATGAAAAATGATAACATATTGACAATTACTTCACAAGGTATCCCAAAGTGGTTTTTGTGCATCCAAATAATAAACATGTATAACAAAAAAAAAAAAAAAAACAATTACATTTTGTACTTACAAAATGGTCAAATATGGCGTTCCATAGCTATGAATTTCGATAATTATAAGGACTAATATGCGTGCCGGTGTAAAGCAAAAATTAATTATACGTATTCGTGCATATCATCATTTATATAAGACTGTGAATAACTATGCTAATAATAATTTGAGCCGTGTCCCGGCAAAACCAACATAATGGGTTTGCGACCAGCATGGATCCAGACCAGCCTGCACATCCGCGCAGTCTGATCAGGATCCATGCTGTTCGCTTACAAACCCTATAACAAGTAGTGAAACTGATACCGAACAGCATGGATCCTGATCAGACAGCGCGGATGCGCAGGCTGGTCTGGATCCATGCTGGTCGCAAAACCCATTATGTTGGTTTTGTCATGACGCGGCTCATTTCATTTGTATAAAAATGCAACGTCGACCCGGAACTCGGAACTCTTCATGACAATCCTTATTATTGGCTTTATGAGTAATTAGATGAAACTATATATGAGCCGCGTCACGACAAAACCAACATAATGGGTTGCGACCAGCATGGATCCAGACCAGCCTGCGCTTCCGCACAGTCTGATCAGGATCCATGCTGTTCGCTATCTGTTTCTCTACTTGTATAGCATTTAGAAAAAGAAGGATTCTTCTAAACAATGAAAACCATGAATTTTCTTTGAAAGTTTTAGTGCTTGCCATTAAATTTGGTTCATTTCTACACTTCCAGTCACTGTGCGATAACAAGTTTCTCCTGAAATGACTCTTTGGTGAGCTACCTGGGATAATCACGATCCTCATCTTCTGAAGTTTATATTTTACACTCTTCCAATAAAACTCATGCTATTTTTATGACTGATCTCAGTAGTCTTTGTTTTATTAAGCATTTTAAATAGATTTTATATGTAAATTTGTTTTTTTACTTGGTAGATTATATTATATTTACAGCTTGTTATACGTTGACCTTGGCATTAAGCATAAGCATAACACATAAGCATCAGTCAAAGGCAAACATCCATGGCATATTTGTCGCAACTACATGGAGCGACAGACGAGATTAGCACCGATGACGAGCAATATGAACCATATGACGAGCAACTTGATTATCTCGACAAAACCTTGGATTACATAAACATCATTAAAATCAATACTAGCTGTTTTAAGAAAAATAAAAATATTAAAAATCAGGATGATTTAGAAAACGCTGAGGGTATTATTGATGAGATCACTAACGGAAGAAAACGAAAGTCCTCATGCGAAACAAATGCTCCAAATGCAAAAAATGCTAGAATCGATCCAAACTTATCAATACCGTCAGAAACTGTCAAAGCTACACAAGGACACCAACACAGGGTTAAACAGCTTTTCCTTCAACCGCAAGTAATGGATATGCTGAAGCAGAAAGGGGTCAATTTCGAAGTTCATCTATATTTAGTTGAAAACCATGTAAGTTCTAAATTTTCTAAAGCCTTTCAGAAATTGTTACAAAGGAATGTAAACAAAAGCTTTGTCAAGAGAAAGAGGTTACTAAAAGTTACATGCTTTTTTTCTACAGAAATGTAAAAAAGGGAAAGTTTTTTACACCTGAAATATACGCATTAACTACCGGTTTCGCATGGCGGTTTGCAGAAACGTTTGCAGAGATGAATTTTGCTAAACATGTTGAGAGGCGGGTTCTTAGATTTCCGTGTCTGAAGTTTCATTATGATCTAATAGATGGGCATATATCCTCGATTTCAAAGTTGGCAAGACCTGGACATGAAATAACATTTACAACATGGGATTTTCTTGGGATATTGGTAAAGAATCGAACCAGACAAATCCGTGAAAACTCATCTTTATACTCATCTGAAATAGATGCATTCGTGACTCAAACAGGAAAACATATACCAACCAAATTTCAAGTTGGTAAAAACAAGTTGAAAATTCAGCGTAAGCTAAAGTTATCTCAACTCGGACGTTTGCTTGACCATTTTTCCAAAATAGACTCAAACAAAAATACGTACTTGATAAATGATAAGATAGAAGAAGAAGAAAAAGATAACCCATTGTTTCAAATGTATGATTTTGTTTCACGCGTCACTGAAAAAGAGCTTCGCGAAAATTTAGATAAAAAACTAAACAACACTCTTCAAGACAGTATGGATGGCAAAAATTCAAATATATATTTAATGCATAAGAAGAAAAGCAAATGGTCAAAGGCAGATGAGTTCAGTCTTCGATATTTGGATGAATCAGCATCGGGACCAAAAAAGAAACACTACAAAACAATAAAGAAATGGAATGCCTTTCCAAAACTTGATGATGTCATGCGCGCATTAAAAGTAGAGTATGCACCAAAGTTTCAACCCGAATGGTTAGACAATGTCATAATTGAATTTGGAAATACAAAGGCAGCTCTGAAGGAATGCATCTTCAGTCGTTTTATTGTAGGAGGCATCGGAACGTATATATATAATCATGGAGAATGGATTGAGATGACGGCTGAATATCTTTATTGCATTGAAACGGAGTTTGTTGAAATGTTGAAACCTCATTTGCTTAAACCAAGTGATTTACCGATGCTTCTGCCATGGAAACATCGTAAGATCAATACGAAAAGGAAAACAAAAGAAAAAAAAATTAAAAAAATTTAAATGAAAAAAAAAAATGAAAATAAAAATGAAGGGCCCAAATTTTTTAAACTAAAAGGGGTTAATTTTGAGAAAATTTTAAAGAAATCAGAAATTTTATTAAGGGCAAAACCGACCCAAATTTTGTGATTTTCAAAATTTAAAGGAGAGAGACAAAAACGAAAGGGGCACATCTATACAGATTCCGGAGGGGGACTGACGGGAAGACGCAAAATTTTCACTTCACACTTATAAAAACATGACTGCGGGTTTCACTACACGAAAATAACCCCTTGAGAAAATTTTCAAACGGAACAATTTTCGACATAAGTTTTTTACAAGTTTGCTACATACTTTTTCACGGAAAGCACATTTCAAGGGGAAATCTTTTCGAGCGGGCTCCAAAAAAAAATGCCGATTTTTTTTATAGAAGATAACTCTGGGGAAAGGTACTGGCATCATCGATCAATACTGGAAGGAGCTCACAAAAACAGACAATAATCACCAAACACACGAAAATGAAGTAAAGAAAGTCTTGAAAAATATGACAAAGGAAAGGTTTAAAGAAAAATTAAGAGCAGAGTCAGATATTATTTTTGTCCTCGCGTGCCGAGACTTCAGGGAGAATGCAGATTTTAGTGAGGACGGTTTTTGTTCATTTAGTGTAAATATAGAAGAAGAAATCCAAACAATGTTTGGTGAGAAATCAGCTGAAATGATCGCAAAATTAAAAGAGGAAGGCTTTCTGACTGTTGAAGGAGATGTAACAAACAAATTTATCTTAGAAGGAAAGAACAACAAAGGAGCATTTATAGCAAAAATAAAACAATGGGAATGCATTAAGAATGAAAAAACGGCAAGAAATGTGTCTGAAGTTCTTATGTCGGGACTGTCAAAATCAAAATCCACTATCGCTAAAATGGAAATCACGAGGCTTATAGAATACTTCGAACGATACTACGTTGGTGAACGAAAGCTACAGCTTAGAGTGCTCAGTATCAATAAGGATTTTCCTTAAATGATCCGAACTCATCAGTGCGACAAACAAGACATAAAGAATTGCAATTTACATAAACGGTCCACTGATAGTAAAAAACTTCCTGAATTTTTTTACTACATCAAGTAGTACCTGCTATAAGGTCAACTGAACTCTTTGTGCTCAGAGATGAACTTTTGTGATAGCAAATCGTTCGTCGTCCGTCGTTGTCTACAATATGTTTAAACAACATCTAAACATTTCGATCCATTGTAAGAAAACTTTACAGAAATGATACTAAGCTGGTCCTCTACAAGAGTTGTGTAGCATCAACTTATGGTCCTCTACAAAAGTTTTATATTAATCATGCCCCTTGGGTCAAAAATGGCCCGGTCTTATGGGTCACACCTTTTGTAAATAAAACTTTGTATATGAAAACGCTTGGAAAGGCCTAGATATTTAGAATATAGCATTATCTAGTGGTCTTGTAAGAAGTTATATAAATCATACCCGGGGTTCACTTAATAGTTTATACAGACATGTAAAGGAAACTGTATTTAGGTTTTCCTTTGTGAAACTACATTGCTTATAGCTTATATATTTTGGTATTTATTTAACTAAAAAAAATATTATTAATGCCCCTAAGGTCGAAAATGGTCACTTAGATATAAAAATTA